CCCCAAAACCCCAAAACCCCAAAACCCCACGAATCTTAATCGAACAGTTCCTTATCAAATTCAAAATATAAATCAAATAAATACTAAAATTCTAATCGTTCTAACTTAAACTCATAAATGGGAATAAAAGACCTTTTACCGCATTTAAAGTCCATTCATAGATAAAGGAATGTCTCTGACTACAAGGGAATGACTGTAGCCGTGGATGGTTATTGCTGGTAATCCTTTAATTCCCCTCAATTTTAGGTTACATTAAGGAGCATATACTTGTGCAATGGACCTTGCTTATGGGAGAGGAGTTGATAAGTAAGATTAATTTTCTTATTTTCTCAATGATCTTAGGCTTATAAGTTACTGTAACATGAAATTACAGCTATTGTTATGCTCAGGAGTAAAACCTTTGATTATCTTCGATGGCTGCAGACTAATAATGAAAGGTAACACTGAAAATGAGCGTAGAATGTAAAACTCGAGTTAAATTTTAAATTATTAGAAATCGATAGAGAGCTCGATAAGAAGCAGAAGAGTTTCATAGACAAGGCAATGTTCACATGGCTATGAGAAAATTCTCTGAATCAGTTGATATTACTCCAGAAATGGCTTATGAGTTTATCTAAATTCTCAAGTCTAGTGATGTTGAGTATTATGTAGCGCCATATGAAGCAGATGCTCAGCTTGCTTATATGTATTTGTAGAAGAGAGCTCAAGTTGTGATAACTGAAGATTCTGACTTACTTATCTTTGGAGTGAAAAAAGTAATGTTCAAAATGGACAAAAATGGTTTTGGAACTGAGATTGACCTTGACAGATTAGGTGAAGTTGAGGAGCTCAATTTCAAGTCTTTTACTTCTGATATGCTTTTAACATGTTGTATTTTAAGTGGATGTGACTATCTCGATTCGATAAAAGGGATTGGCTTTAAGAAAGCTCACAAACTTGTCTTTGATCAAGGGGACGAGTTGTAAAATATCTTGAAAAGAGTTAGACGTGAGGGAAAACTCTTAATTCCTTAAGATTACGAGAAGACTTTTGAGAAGGCATTCCTAACCTTCAAATTCTAATTAGTTTACTGTCCAGATAAGGAAGACCTCGTACATTTAAATGATCCTGATACTCATCCCTAAGGTAAGCTACTAAAGAATTACGCGAGCTTGGAATTTCTGGGGAAAAAATTAGATCAAGAAACAGCTAAAGCAATTGCAATGGGAGAGATTGACCCAATGTCTCATAAATCATATGCTCAGTTGATTTATGAGAGAAACAACTTAAAGCCAGTGTTTTTCAGAAAGAATCAAGGAACGACTAAATAAGTTACAATAAAGGACAACAATGTCAATATCACTCAGAAGGAATCTAAAGTTGTTGAAAAAAAGAAGGGCAATCTATTTAATTTCTTTCAAAAATCTACTAAGACTAATGTAGTCAACTAATATGAAGAGGTAATCAATACCAATCTAATTTTAAACTCATAGATAAAAGTAGGAACTTAAGAAGACTCCCAGAACAATAGCCTAAGTCAGCCAGAAAAGAAGTGAGTAGATATTTGGATCATAACTTATGATATAGGATAAGCAGCTAGACTTTTTCTTAGCAGACAAATTAGTTCAATTTTAGGTCTAAACCAATCATAAAGCCAAAAACCAACAATTCAAACGAAGAAGATGACGAGGCCACTCCTATAAAGCATTAAATTGCTGGCTAAATCAATAAGAAACGAAAGTTTAATGAGATTCTAGGTTCTGATGAGAATGTAAACTCTTAGAACCAGCTGATTGACTTTGAGGAACCGTCTTCCCAGGTTTTAGTATCGAAGTTCTTTAGGAATAATGATGGTTCAATCACTCCAATACCTTAAATTGAAAGGAAAGATCAATATGAAATTCAGTCAAAATATACCGGTATAGCTAAGTAATTAGAACCGAATGGAAGAAAGTATCTAGACATGTTTAAATTTTAACCCCCTGGTAAGATATCTCAAGTTAAGTAGGCATTAGAGCCTTTATCAATAATTTAGCCAGCTTAAAAATCCGTTACTCCTATTCAAATAATGAGCAGTAAACTTGCTATTGAAAAATTAGAATCATTGGAAAAATGCAGTCTAGAATCACTTGAGGTTTAGGTAAAATAAATCTAATCAAAGACTGAAACAATGAGAGAGGTGTGCAATAAGTCCATGGATGATTTCAAAAAATATATAAATACGAAAGCGATCAACTATGGCTCTTCCTCAAACATTAATCTTGGGAGCAAAAGAAGTAGCAGTATAAATACCAATAATCTTAAACATCATCTAGGAGGGTATAAGAACAAAAATAAAGAATTTATAGGCTAAATCTAGTAGTACTCTTAAGATTCTTAGAGATCAGACAAGATTAGCTACTAGAATTGTAAGAAAGATTTGACTGGAGATGATTAAGTACTCGATGAATAAGCAGATATTGCTTAAATTGAATAATAAAATGAAGCAATTGTCTCAACTTAAATTAGTAAAGCCTAAGCTAATGATGAACAAGGAAAGTCAAGTAAAAATGAAAGGAGTTTTCAAATCTTGTAATTCTTCGATCAATTCAAGATGCCAATAAAAGTAAACGCTTAAGTTAAAAAACCATCAATTAATTAATTGTGAGTAAAATCATTCAATCTACAAATTATCTGTAAATTTATTTCATTAATCATTTATTTCTTAATTTTCTTAGTCCATTCATTAGCTATCATCTATTTGGTTGGGGTTTTGGGGTTTTGGGG